AGCATGTAATGCTATTTGATAGTATTTCACCTGTAGTAGAACTTCCTTGTCAAAATTGGAATCAATCCTCTCAAACCCTGCTGTTTATCAACTAAGTTTATGTAATATTCTAAGTCATTTATTTTCATTTCAACAATCTTGATAATATCCTCATCAGGAGTAGATTTCATCTCAAGAAACCACTTCCTTTGTCCGTAAGAAGTAACTCCTCATCTGTTCAAGTTTTATCATGACTTTGTAACAATTCTGTCCAATCTTTAGGCTACACTTTTTTTTTTTTACAATTTTTATTATGTTATGTTAGTCACCATAAAGAAAATTAGTTTTTGAAGCAGTGTTCCAAAATTCATTGTTTCTAATTCTAGTTCTTTTCTACTTCCACCTCATCTGCAGGGACTTCCTCCATTAAAGTTTTGAACCCTTTAAAGTCATCCATGAGGTTTGGAATAAACTTTTTCCAAACTCCTGTTAATGTTGATTTATGACATTTTTCCATCAATGATGAATGTTCTTAATGGCATCTACAATAGTTTTTATTTTGCCCAGATTATCAGAGGAATCACTCTCTGTGGCAACTATAGCCTTATAAAGTATAGTTTTTAGATAAGTAGACTTGAAATATGAAGTGACTCCTTGATCCATGGGCTGCAGATGGATATTGTTTTAGCAGGCATGAAAACATTAATCTCATTGTACATCCCCATCAGAGCTCTTGGGTAACCAGCTACATTGTCAATGAGCAGTAATATCTTGAAAGAATTTTTTTTTTTCTGAGCAACTCTCAGTGGGCTTAAAATCTTCAGTAAACCATGTTGTAAATGCATGTGTGTTCAGCTTGCTTTTTTTATTTATAGAACACAGTACATTTAACATAATATCTAAGGGCCATAAGATTTTCAGAATGGTAAATGAGCATTGGCTCCAACTGAAAGTCATCAGCTGCATTAGCCTTTAACAAGAGTCAGCCAGTCCTTTGAAGTTTTTTTTTTTAAAGATTTTATTTATTTATTTGACAGACAGAGATCACAAGTAGGCAGAGAGGCGGGCAGAGAGCCCAATATGGGGCTCGATCCCAGGACCCTGGGATCATGACCTGAGCCGAAGGCAGAGGCCTTAACCCACTGAGCCACCCAGGCTCCCCTCCTTTGAAGTTTTGAAGCCAGGCATTAACTTCTCCTCGCTAGCAATGAAAGCCCTAGATGGCATCTTTTTCCAATAGAAGGCTATTTCATCTCCATTAAAAATCTCTTATTTAGTATAGCTGCCTTTATTATCTCAGGTAGATCTGGAGAACTTGCTGCAGCTTCTACATCTTCACTTTGTGCTTCACCTTGTACTTTGATGTTATGGAGATGGTGTCATCCTTAAACCTCATGAACCAGCCTCTGCTAAGTTCACACTTTTCTTCTGTAGCTGGTTTGATTTTTTTTTTCTCCAGACGACTAAAACTTTCTCCACATCAGCCAAAAACTGTTTTTCTTTCTTATCATTTGTGTTGACTGGAGTAGCACCTTTAATTTTCTTCAAGAACTTTCCCTTTGCATTCACAGCTTGGCTAACTATTGGGTGTAAGGGGTTTAGATTTCAGACTGTTTCAGATTTTTTTTAAATAATTTTTTTAAATTTATTTTCAACATAACAGTATTCATTGTTTTTGTACCACACCCAGTGCTCCATGCAGTCCGTGCCGTCTCTAATACCCACCACCTGGTTCCCCCAACCTCCCACCCCCCCACCTCTTCAAACCCTTCAGATTGTTTTTCAGAGTCCATAGTCTCTCATTGTTCACCTCCCCTTCCAATTTCCCCCAACTCCCTTCTCCTAACTCCCCATGTCCTCCATGCTATTTGTTATGCTCCACAAATAAGTGAAACCATATGATAATTGACTCTCTCTGCTTGACTTATTTCACTCAGCATAATCTCTTCCAGTCCCGTCCATGTTGCTACAAAAGTTGGGTATTCATCCTTTCTGATGGAGGCATAATACTCTTCAGATTTTGCCATGCCTTCCTCACTGAGCTTAATTATTTCTAGCTTTTGATTTAAAGTGCGAGGTATATGACTCTTCCTTTCACTATCCACTTAGAAGCCATTGTAGGCTTATAAACTGGCCTAATTTCACTATTGTTTTGTCTCAGGGAACAGGGAGACCCAGAGTGAGGGAAAGAGATGGGGGGAATGGCCCCCCATTTGGTGGAGCAGACAAAACACATACATTTAAATTTGCCTTCTTATGTGGATATGGAACAAATAAAAGTAACGTCAAAGATCCGAGGTCACCAGGACATATAATAATGAAAAAGTTTGAAATAGTTCAAGAGTCACCAAACTGTGACACAGAATTACCAAAGTGAAAAAATGTTGGAAAAATAGCACCAATAGACTTGCTCAGCAAATTGCCACAGATCTTCAATTGACAGAAAATGCAGTATTTATGAAGCACAACAAAACCAGGTATTCCTTTATACATCATGCAAGTCTCTATGGGCCTAGAAAATTTCTGAAGAATCTGATGGTCTTGTGTGTGTGTGTGTAGGGGTTCCCTTGTACATAAGTTTTTTTTTTTTCCTGTTTTTAAGATTCTCTCCTGTCTTTGACAATTTGATCACAGTGTAGCTCAGTGCTAATCTCTTTGGGTTCATCTTATTTCATATGCTGTTTAATATTCTGGCCATCCTAGATCTGCATGCCTATTTCTCCAGGTTAGAGAAGTTTTCAGTCATTATTCTTTAAATACATTTTCTACCTCTTTCTCTGTTCTTCTTAGGGGACATCAAGCAGACCAACATTCACATTATGGGGTCCCCAAAGTTCCATTAGCTATCTTCACTATTTTTTAATCTTTTTTTTCTTTTCTGACTGTGTAAGTTACACTGCCCTGTCCTTTGAATTCATGGATCATTTTTTCTGTGTTTTCAAATGTGCTGTTTAAGCCCTCTGTAGTATTTTTCTCTTCAGTTATTGTGTTCTTCAGCTCTGTCCCTTTTATTAGGTACTTTCTTCTATATTTGTTGAATTTTTCACTTGGTTCATGTGTTATTCTCCTGAATTGAGTGGACATCTTTATCACTATTATTTTGAACTCCTTGCCAGGTACATCACTTATCTCCATTTCATTAAGATCTTTTTCTGGGGTTTTATCTTGTTCTTTTGTTTGGAACATATTCCTCTGTTTCTTCATTTTGATCTATTCTCTGTATTGATTTCTATGCATTAGATAAAAGAGCCATATCTCCCATTCTTCTCTGGCTTATTAGCTCTTGGCTGTCTCTCAACCCCTGTGACTGTCCAAGCAGCCTACTTTATTTTTAGTGGCTTCGAGAAGTGGAGGTTGTGCCAAGACCTTTCACTGTCTCAAAGGGGAGGATCTCAGTAAGCATCTGGATTCATGCTGATTGGAAAGCAGAACTTCAGGTAGCAACTTTTATAGTTTGCAAATGGAATTGATTCTCTAATTTCTCTTTCTACAGTTAAATTGTTAGTATATAAGAAAGCAACTGATTTCTGTGCATTGATTTTGTATCCAGCCATATTACTGAATTGCTTATTGTCACTATCTTGAACTGGAAGCCTATCTTCTGTCTTTTTGATAATAGCCCTTCTAATAAGTAGGAAGTGATAATTGTGGTATGAATTTTTATTTCTCCAATGAGTAGTGACGTCTAGCACTGTTGCATATACCTATTGGCTGTATTTATGTCGTCTTGGAGAAATCTATTGAGTTCTTCTGACCGAGAGACCCTGGAACTGGTTCCTAGGTAGGAATGAGGTCTCTCTGATACATGAGTGGCCCAGACTCCTCCTGAATCCCTTGGCATATGACGCTGGATCCCATAGGTCTCTCAAAGGCACTAACGTTTAGTAATGGATGCTCACTTGTTGAGTTGGGGGACAAAAACAAGGGATATCTTAGGCTGCTGTGATGCTAATGTCACTTTTCAACCTTAGGACAGTATTATTTGTTGTAGGTATATGTTTGTACAAGTGGGAATATTACAGTGGGATGAAGTTCCAAAATGACTAGGTCATGGGGTATATGCAGTTTTCATTTTGGTAGATAAAGCCAAATCACTTTTTATAGCGGTTTATACTCTATCCACAGTTTAAGAGTGCCTGTCTCTCCAATAATTAACTTTTTGACTTTGTCAGTCTGAAAAACAGCAATTCATTATACCCCTCATTTGCATGTATCTTTATGCTTCCTTTCCAGTGAACTATCCCAATTCTTTGTGAATTTTTTAAATAAAGATATTTTAAAATTAATCTCTACACCCATGTGGTGCTCGAACCCACAACCCCAAGATCGAGTCACATGCTCTACCAGCTGAGCTAGCCCGATGCCCCACTTTGTATATTTTTGTTTTGGGGCCTGGTCTTTTGCTTATTAGTTTATTGGCGTAACAAAATTTAGAATATATTTGTTTTCGGTAAAAACAAAAACCATAAAACCACAACAACCAAAAGAACCAGGGTGACTTTGTTAAGAAAGAAAAACTCCGTTTTAAAAAGTGCCCCTTCCTTCAAGCCATGACCAAAACAGTTTGCAGAGTGGGAGTATTTGATGCTTAGCCCTATAAGAAGTAGAAATACCTTGAAGGCCCTCTTGGCTGATCCTCACACTCCAGCTCCCCTGGAAAATGTTTTAAACTCAGGTTAGAATTTAATAGGCAAAATTGCTGAATCAGAAAAAAGTGAAGGCTCACCAACCCCCTCAGGGAATCAGTAGTACACAAGTTGGTAAACATGTAAAAAGACAAACCATGCAATAGCTTTTAAAAATTAAACTATGGAAATACAGAGAGGGTCCTTTGTGTTTGCTGAGAGGGCAGGGTTCACAGGGTGAAACAAGAAGGGCACTTGAGGGTTGTCCTCTTCCTGGGGCTGGAGCCATTGACTGTCAGAGTCTGTGTTGTTGGGTACTTGATAGCACCCAGGGAAATTGCTCTAGGGAGGTTTTATGAAACTCACCTGCCTCTCCCATGGCATTTTCCCCCACAGCTCATGTGTTCATCAGTGCAGAAGGCTCTGTTTGAGGAGGAGGACCATGTCAAGAAGCTGCAGCAGAAGGTGGCCACTCTGGAGAAGCGGAACAAGCAGCTTCGGGATCGGGTGAAGAAGGTCAAGCGGTCATTAAGGCAGGCACGGAAGAATGGTCGACACCTGGAGCTGGTGAACCAGAAGCTCAGTGAGAAGTTAGCAGCTGCAGCAGGTGCCCTCCCACACATTAATGCCCTGGGGCAGGAGCCACCAGGTGCCACGTACCTGCGGGGGTAACAGCGCTTGAGTAGTGGTCTTGCCTGGCTCTGCTGGAACATGTTGCCTCTTGCCAGGGATTGTAAAGTAATGGTAGGTTTTAATGTGCACATAGGTCAAAAAGTCTTGTAGATGTTTTAAATATGCATTTGGTAGTGTCTAGTTACTTGAAGGGGCAAGTTTTGTTATTTTCTTAGTTGCTGGGCTCCTTCCCCTCCCTGCCTCGCTCCCAGACCCAGTGCTTACAAGTCCAGAGGCAGCACGATCCTGGAGTGTCATGTGCTTGCCTAGGGTCTGTCTTCAGCTTTCAGGAGCACACTGGAAAGTCTGGGGGAAAGAATATCTTAGAATCTCTAGATGTACAAGAATCAAGGGGTTCAGCCTTATTGCAGAAGAGGCTGTGAGACCTCCAGCTCTGAGCTCCAGGACCATCATTAGTTTTGAGAAGGGATCTGCAGCAAGTCTTGGAACTTTTGGAAGGTGGATGGCAACCTTGCAAAGCACCCAAGGATGTCTAAATAACCATGTGCAAGGTGTCCCTACTTCAGCCAGCTGAAGCACAGCTCATAATAGTGCAGTGGGGAGAGGGGAGTAATTGAACAAGATGAATTATACCTGATTTCCAAGACCAGTTACCCAGAGTTAAAGAGGATACCTATGGGTCACTTTAATCTAAAGGGGTATTGCCTTTGTGGACTGGTCATGTTTTATCAAACCGTGTTGCTGAGTTGGCAAGAGACTGCACAACATCTCAGCCCCTGCTAAATGCAAACTTACTGTTGGCTCATTAACTCCTTCCAGCTGCTCTGAATTTGAGGTGAGTTGACCCAGTACACTGTTAACTTCTGCAAAGATACCTCCTTACCTATTGGAATCAAGTGACCTTGCCTCATTCCCAACCAGGCACCCAAAGAGCTTGTTCCAGGCGGTTCTACAGAGGCTTGATGCAAGCATTTTCACCACCTAACTAAATTGGCTGTAAGGTAATTTTGTTCTCAGAGAGAAAATAACTGTCAATAGAGACATGAAAGCAAACTAAGTTCTATTTTTATATTACATGAAGCTTAGCCCCCCTAATAGTCTATGACCAGTCTACATGGTGGTTTTAAAACAATGGATGATAACTCCATATATCAACTTGATAGAAAATACAGTAACTGGGAGTGTGAAATAAGACTGTAAGGCCAGATTGCATACCATACTGTAATACAAAATAATAGCTTATCAGTTATAAAAACTCAAATGCTTTACATTTTTTCTGTCCCATAGAACTTCTGAATGTCTATCACCAGACATGTATCATTATGCTAAGAATGAACAGTCATGTAGACAGCTTTCATAATGTAATACAAAGCTCAGTTACAAACATGCATCCTAGGATTTTGGAAAACAGATACTTCTCTTAGAAAGGACATAATGAAGAAATTAGTAAGGTCCCTCTTGTATTTTTTGTTAGTTTATCTTTTATGGCCAAATTACCTTCTGCCCAATGAGTTATGCAGTGAAAATGCTTGTGGCAAATATGCCTATGGTGGAAATACCAGACAGGGTTCCAGGCATTCCAGTCTCTGCTTCTGTATGCAAACACCTTCCACCCACCAGGACTGCCCACCAGTAATGTCTGCACATGAGGCCACCTGTCAGCATATCAGGTTTTGTACATGACCTCAGAGCACTTCACCCTGTTTGGAAAGAAACCTGTAAAGACAGTACTACCAGTAAGAAGACTATCCACATATAGAACAGCTGAGCCATTAATTTAGGTACATTTCGTCCAGTGGCAGTTGGGTTCTTAAGAAGGCAACCAAGTGGTCATCTTGTGACTACCTTCTGATGGAGCTGCAGATCTCCAAGTCCCTCTTGCTGTTCCAGATAGAACTTTCAGGTTCCTCATCAGGAAATCTGCCCCCAGACCACTCCAGACATTGCAGCACCTGATTATGTTGTCCTGTCCACCGGAAATGGCAATTATATGGTCAGATTCCCTTCCACTTCCTTTAGGAAAACCACATTTTTTGGCTCTGGCAGCTGGTTGGGAGGATGGACCTGTGTTACTTGAGGCTGCTGCTGCTCAAAGGGAGATGTCTGCACTCTGGACTGGATAGAATGGCAGTTTTTGCTTCATTTCCAAGCTTCTGCTGCTCCTTTATTAGCTGTATCCTTCATAGTACAATACAATAGTTCAGTCTTTCTGGGGCCATTTCATTAAAGCATTTGGCTTCCACCCAAGGGAGTGACAAGCCTAAGGGTGATTTACAGCTAGTGTTTTGAGAACTGTGGAACCCGGTGATCCCTACAGATGCATTATGTTCTGCCTTTTTAATAAATATGAGCAGTATTTCAGCCACAATGGTAGGGTGATGTGTGTTTCTTTGGGGTCAGGGAGATTCCAGCTTTGGCCTGGAAAAGTACTTGTTAGATCCTTCTGGGGAAGCATCTGTGAGTAACACCTGGGACACACAGAAGACTGAGCTCAAATCTCTTGATGTTCCTGTGGGGAGATATGGCTTGAACCTCTCTGTCCCAGGGTTCCCACCTTTCAACCCACCTGCAGAAAAACAGTGGTATCTGCTCCCCAGAGGGGAGAAGAAGCTTCATTAATCAATGTCTGCAAAAATATATTTGAATCTGTTGCCAAAGGAAACTCCCCAGGTCCCTGTTATCTGCTGCATTGTCATCTTACTGGAGCCCTTGCAACCTGTTTATTGTACCCATAGGAATTTTTTATGCAAGAAGAATCCAAGAAGTACTTCAAAATTGATAACGCTACAACAGGTTGGTTGAGCATATCTGAGATGCAGACCACTGTTGAGTTCTACTTTGGAAAAGTCACTTGACCTCCTCAAACCCCAAAGTCACAAACGAAATGAGAGGCAGACAGAATCTAGAATCACAGGTCACCATGTGAGCCACAGCTAGCGTTGGGTAGTTCCCTGGGCCTCCACTGTGTGTTTAAATGTGAATGTCCAGACCACTGTTCCTACTGATTTTTTTTGTTCTTTTGATGTCACACTTTTCCTGGTACCTGCCCAGTAACAGGGATTCTCACATCTGTGATGCAAGGCCCCATCTCCCTTAGGAGAGAGATAACCTAAATTGTTGATTCAGCAACAGTCCATATTCTAAAATAGTCTTAAAAATCAAGCACCTAGTGTGTATTAGGCTCCTTTACCATATTCTCATTTACTATTTCTAATAACTTTATAAAATAGTTGTCCTGTTCCCCATGCTTAAAGAGGAATCTGGAGTTTCAAGAGATTAATTGCCCAGTGAAACACAAGTAGTATAAAGTGGCCAGTCAAGGATTCAACTCCATCTTGATTTCCCTCTTTATACTTGCTCATGTAAAATGAGGCTAATAAACACTTCTCCCTCAAAGGCTGTTCAGAAGATTGAATAAAATCATTCCTTTAAATGCTTAGTTTGGTTCTTGACACTCTGTAAACACTCAAGATAGAAGTGTTGTTTCTACTATTCCTCGCAAAGACCCAATGCATGTCACAAATGAGAGGTTATTTGGTGGGATTCCATATAATTTTCTTATTAACAAGAGGAGGGATAAAAACTTTGATCATCTCAATAGATACTGGAAAAGTGTTTGGCAAAATAAACATCCATTTATGATAAAAACTACAACAAAGTGCATCTGGAGGGAATGTACCTCAACACAATGAAGGCCATATATGAAAAACCCAAAGCTAATATCATACTCAATGCTGAAAAATGGAGAGCTTTTCCTCTAAGATCAATATTAAGACAGGGATGTTCACTCTTACCGCTTTCATTCAGTATAGTACTGGAAGTCCTAGCTCTGGCCATTAGACAAGAAAATGAAATGAAAGGCATCCAAATGAAAGGCATCAGATTGGAAGATGTAAAATTGTCAATACTTGCAGATCAGATGCTGTTATATATAGACAGTAAAGATGCCACCAAAAGCGGTTAGAATAAACAAATAGCATGACACAGAATTGATAAGCAAAAATCTTACTTTTATATACTAATACAGAACTATAAAAATTAAAACAATGCCTTTTATGTTTGCATGAAAAAGAATATCTAGAAATATATTTAACCAGAGATAAAAGATCTGAACACTGACATTGCAAGACATTGGTGAAAGAAATTAAAGATGAGTATTATACTAAGAAATAAGGAGGACAGAAAAGACAAATAGCATATGATCACTTATATGTAGAATTTTAAAAAACAAATGAAGAAAAAACCAGAAATGACCCAAGATACAGGAAATGAACTATTGGCTATTTAAGGGGGAAGAGGATAAAGTTGAGTGAAAGAGGTAAACAGGATTAATATATCCAAATGTCCAGTTATAAAATAAATCATGGGGACATAATATACAGTGTAGGAAATATAGTCAATAATATGGTAATACACTTATGGTGACAGATGGTAATTAGACATTGTGGGGATTTTATAGAATATAAAAATATCAACCACTATTACGTATGAAAATAATTCAATGCTGTATGTCGATATACTTCAATTTTTTTTTATTTCTTTTCAGCGTAACAGTATTCATTGTTTTTGCACCACACCCAGTGCTCCATGCAATCCGTGCCCTCTCCAATACCCACCTGGTTCTCCCAACCTCCCATCCCCCACCCCTTCAAAACCCTCAGATTGTTTTTCAGAGTCCATAGTCTCTCATGGTTCACCTCCCCTTCCAATTTCCCTCAACTCCCTTCTCCTCTCCATCTCCCCTTGTCCTCCTTGCTATTTGTTATGCTCCACAAATAAGTGAAACCATATGATAATTGACTCTCTCTGCTTGACTTATTTCACTCAGCATCATCTCTTCCAGTCCCGTCCATGTTGCTACAAAAGTTGGGTATTCAGGGCGCCTGGGTGGCTCAGTGGGTTAAGCCGCTGCCTTCGGCTCAGTCATGATCCCAGGTCCTGGGTTCAAGCCCTGCATCGGGCTTTCTGCTCAGCAGGGAGCCTGCTTCCTCCTCTCTCTCTGCCTGCCTCTCTGCCTACTTGTGATTTCTCTCTGTCAAATAAATAAATAAAATCTTTAAAAAAAAAAAAGTTGGGTATTCATCCTTTCTGATGGAGGCATAATACTTCAATTTTTTAAGAAAGTCATCCAAATGGGAAAGGAAAAAGTAAAACTGTCACTACTTGCAGAATGACATGACACTATATATATAGAAAACCTTAAATCCTGCATCAAAAAACTATCACAACTAATAAGTGAATTAAATAAAAGTGCCAGATAGAAAGTCAATATAGTAAATTCTGTGGCATTTACACACACTAATAAACTATCAGAAAGAGAAATTAAAACAATTTCACTTACAACTGCATCAAAAATAATAAAATACTTAGAAGGACTATATGTACCCCAATGTTCATGGCAGCACTATCCACAATAACCAAACTGTGGAAAGAGCCAAGATGCCCTTCAACAGATGAATGGATAAAGAAGATATGGTCCATATACACAGTGGAATATTAGCCATCAGAAAGGATGAATACCCAACTTTTGCCTCAACATGGATGAGACTGGAGGAGATTATGCTGAGTCAAATAAGTCAAGCAGAGGAAGACAATTATCATATGGTTTCACTTATTTGTGGAACATAAGGAATAGCATGGAGGACATTAGGAGAGGGAAGGGAAAAATGAAGGGGGAGAAGTTGGGGGGGATGAAAAATGAGAGACTATGGACTCTAAGAAACAAACTGAGGGTTTTAGAGGGGAGGGGGATGGGGGGATGTGTTAGCCTGGTGATGGGTATTAAGGAGGACATGGATTGCGTAGAGCACTGATTGTTAAAAGCAAGCAATGAATCATGGAACACTACATCAAAAACTAATGATGTATGGTGTCTAACATAATAAAAATTTTAAAATGTTGAGTGAAATAAGTCAAGCAGAGAGAGTCAAGTATAGGGTTTTGCTTATTTGTGGAGCATAAGAAATAACACGGAGGACATGGGGAGATGGAGAAGAGAAGGGAGTTGGGGGAAATTGGAGGGTGAGATGAATCATGAGACACTGTGGACTCTGAGAGACAATCTGAGGGTTTTGGAGGAGCGGGGGTTGGGAGGTTGGGTGAGCCTAGTGGTGGGTATTATGGAGGGCACATATTGCATGGAGCAATGGGTGTGGTGCATAAACAATGAATTCTGGAACAATGAAAAGAAACTAAAAAAAGTTAAACAAATAGATAGAAAATAAAATTAAAAAACAAGAAAAATTTAACCAAGAGAACAAAGACCCATAATCTGAAAAGTATAAAACCTCCTGAAGGAAAGATTCATGCATTGTTGGTCGGAATATAAATTATAGTAGCTGCTTTGGAAAACAGTATAGAGGTTCTTCAAAAAATTAGAAATACTGTACAATCCACCAATTCCACTTCTGGACATTTATCTTAACACTAAATCAAAAAATTATATGAACTATGTTCATTGGAGCATTATTTAGAATAGCTAATACATTGAAGGAAACTAAATGTCCATCAATAGATGAAATGGACAAAGAAGATGTGTGTGCATGCACACGCATGGAATATTAAATAATACTAAAGAATGAAATCTTGACATTTACAAAAACATGGATGGACCTAGAGGTTATTGTCCTAAGGTCAATAAGAGAAATTAAAATATTGTGATTTCACTTATATGTATAATCTACAAAACCAAACACATGAACAAACAAAGCAAAACAAAGACAGACTCATACAGAGAGCAAACTGATGGTTGCCAAAAGAGAGAGGTATGAAAGGATGGATGAAATAGGTGAAGGGGATTAACAGGTAGAATACTCCAATTATAAAATATATAAAACACAGTGATATAATGTATGGCATAAGGAATATAGTCAATAATATTGTAACAAGTTTGTATGGTGACAGGTGAGAACTAGATGTATTGTGGTGCATTACTAAAGTATATAAATATCAAGCCACTACGTTGTATACTTGAAAATAATACAATATTGTATATCAGTTACTCAATTAAAAAAAAAAAAATTGTTGCCTGAGAAGCAGTTTTTGGTTTAGCCTCCAGGGAGGAGCTGTGATCCTCTTCAAAGACCAAGGAAACCAGTAGACACAAACTCTGCTCTCTCACACTAGCCCTCTCCAAGTTACCAGTATCCCTATAGAAAGAACTTCTATACACATCTAAGGCCCCGCTTCTGTGGCTGCTGCCAACAGACAGGTCTCTATGTCACCTGACTCTGATAGCCAATGGGGCTTCCATTCAGGAATCCCACAGAACTGTCAAGAAACAAAAAGGTAACTTTTAACCCCTTCCCCCCAAACTCAGTATAGAGGAAGTAGACACACATGCCCATATTCCAGTCTTTCCCTGAAAGG